GCAGAAGGCGGAACCCGTCAAAGGTCGGTTGCAATCAGAAAAATTTAATATGTTGAAAATTCCAACAGCAACTAAATACCCGATTTCAAAAAAGACCGTTGTTTTTGAAAAATTGAAAAATTGAAAAAAAAGGTTTTATGTCGGAACTTTTGGCTAGTGCTAGCTTGATAGCTTCAAGTTCGGCAAAAGGCGAAACACGCCGATGGTCGGTTGCAAATCAAAAAGTTGAATATTTCGGAAATTTCTACTGCGATTAACTAGAACACTTCAGTAAGAACCGCTGTGTTTGAAAAAATTTCAAATCTTTTTTTACGTCGAAACTTTTTGCTAGTAAAGTTAGTTTGATTTATTTAAAGGCATAGGGGCATTAAAAAAATGGGGTTTCAGGTGAAAGCAGTATCTTATACAGTTTTTCTTTGCGAATCGAATGGTGTACTCAAAAAAATTACAGATGTGACAACTTTAGAAGAAAAACGCGATTTCACTTTCCCGCCTTTAATTTTGAAAAAAGCTTTGGATCGGTATACAGACAAACTGTTTACAGTAGCCGTGCACGCGATGTTGCGGACGTCTTATTAGACTTGCATTTTGTGTGAAATAAACTGATATCTGCTTCAAATTAAGAGTTCTTTCTCTGAAAAAAACGATTAAAAAAACCGGAAACACTCATTGATGATAAAGAAAACACAAATAATCGCAATCCCAATCAAAACCTGGGTAAAATCATCATTTTTCACGAGGGAAGCATTTTTGCGACCAAAGTTTGCAAATTATACATGAATAGAAAGTTTTTGTGACGAAAAGAACTTTGGTGACAACAGAAAAAATTGAAAATTGAAAGAAACGAAGAAAAAAGCGAATATCCGGAAGATGGCGAAGCCTGTTGTCCATAGAGCAACTTTACTGCAAAGCGCCCTTTTCGCGGGAACTCAAACTTTCCTCTCTCCGACTTTGAATTATTTTTTCTCCAAAACTAGGAACTTCTGTACGTGTCCAAATTCACCGTTCGATTCGCAATGAAAAACTCTACAAATAACTGCTTTGAACTGAAACACCGTTTTTTACTGCCCCTATGCCTTTAAGGTTGGAAAAAAGCGAAACCCGCCGAAGGTCGGTTGCAAAAAAAAAGTTGAGTATTTCGAAAATTTTAACAGCGGGACTAGTATACAGCCACCGTTGTTCTTTATCATTTTTTATTCCTACTTCTGAACTTTAGCTTTATATGCCTCATCTTGTCAAAAAGCGGAACCCATCGCTGGTCGGCTGCAAATGTTGAAAGTTGATCTTTTAGATTCATAACGTTTTTCTTTGACAACAATGCTGACCAAAAAAAGTTCATAACTAAATCGGGAAGAAAAAGTATAGTTGTGCGTTGGCGTGTCTTTCCGGGGCGTGTTTCAGGGAGCAATAATTAGATTTTATGCTTTTCGCCTACACTATTGGCCGCTCGAAAAAAATGTTTTGATCCTTGATCCATTTTTGGAAAGCTTTGAGAGGATTTTTTTATAGTTTTTTTTAATAAAAAAATTTGTTGAGAGAAGATCAAAAATTTACCAAATCATACATGGTGAGCTCTAATAAAGTTATTTTTTTCTTCTTCAAAAACTGAAAAAAATGATTTTTGGATTGAATATAGATTTTGTTAAGTAATGGGTTCAATAAATAGTATTTCTTGTGGGCTTTTTAGAAGCGCAGGCTACTGTAGATGATCTTCGCTTCAAGACTATCCAAACCAAATTCTTTCAACCATTATTCGTTCAGCAGAAAGTTCTACAACCCGAAAAAAACCAAAAAAAAAGCTTTTACTTTGTTCAATTGATCTTCATAAACTTTTCTCCACACTGTTTGACCTGCCATTTTTTATACTTTTGCGATCTTTCGCGCTGCTTTCCCCAAAAAAATGACAAAGTCTCACCTTTGTCCCTTCCCGTTTGTACTTCGTTCCCTTTCGACTCAATATTTGTCAACCGTTCTTTTCGCAGATTTTTTTTAAATCTGTTCTTTCGCCGAGAAATGAAGAAGGGAAACGGGGTTACGGTAGTGGCTTCTCGCGCCTTTTTCGTTTATCAAAAATTGCTCGAAATCTTGAAGAAACTGATCAAAAGACGATGGAGACACTGGGAAAGATACTTTATTCAATTTCATCGGAATGACCGGATGCGTTGCGGTCGCGCAGCGGCTCTTTCGAAGGTGAACCAACCTCGAAATGGCTTACGGTCGATCATTATCCAAATCGTGATGTTCGCAGCTCCTGATCATTCGAACCCGTCAATTATCAAACAAAACGAAGCATTTTTCAAATTTTGGTTATAGTCTGTTCATATTTTTGATGTCAAGTGCAATAACGTCATTCAAAAACACTCTGTGGATGGCTCGCTCTCTGATTGGTTTATCGCACAATTAGAGGCGGAGCTTAAGCGACGACTTGACATTGAAAATCTGAACAGACTATATCGATCAGTCTAAAATCTTCAAAAAAGGTATTTTCTCATCAGTTTAACGGGTCAGTTCGGATGATTGGCCTCCGGAATCGCCGAAAATTTTTCGAACACGGCATTCCATTACTCATAACTTTTTTCCTAGATGTCCCCGGCAGTTTCTGAGACCAGATTTGGAATCTGAAGAAAAAGTTGCATCTAGTGAACTCAGTCTCATTCAGAAGTCGATCAGAGATCGCTTCCTGGATAGGTGTCACTTTTTGAGTGTTGAACAAGCCGACGCAGTTTTCCTCTAACCAGGGAATGGTCTCAGCTCACAGTGGGACTTCTGAATGAGACCAATTTTACTAGATGTAGTTTTTTACGCTGATTCCAAATTTGCTTTCAAAAGTTGCCCAATACGTCTGTGAAAAAAGTTATGGACCCTCAAAAGTCAAAAATTCCAGTGTCTCCGATTGAGCTCATTTTTGGAGGGTATGTAGATCTTGTCCCTCTGGTCACGAAAAACAATTGAACTTTTCTCAAAAAAATTTCGCAGCCTAGATATGATTTTTCAAAGCCCCGCCGAACATAAGAGAATGCGCGCGCGGTGTGGTATTGCTAGCCGGCGACCGTCGAAGCAAGGGCAGCGAGGAGCAGTGGAAAGGCGGCGGACTGGGAATAACGAGGTCATAGGTTCGGTCCCCGCCCTGTGCAAAATGTTTTTGCAATTTTTCCCTTTTTTGAAACCTTCGTGTAAGAGCTCCTTTCTTGAGTTTTGAAGCGTAGAAACATGAGAAAACTTCGTTTTGAACCTTTATAAACATCTGGACTTCTTTTTGTCGCAAATTTTTTTCATGGATTTTTTCGTGATTTTCCATGTGTATTTCCATGAGCATGGGTTGGAGTATGAAAATTTTCGAAAAAAATGTTTTTGTTTTTTTCGTTTCGAAAGTTGCACTAGTCCAAGTAATCATGACTACGCTGTCAAAAATCACAGAAAAAAATTTTTTTCACTTCCAAAAAGATCTTTTTAGGTTCCAGTGACTTATGTGCCATGATTGCCTTTTTGTCGAAAAAAAGTTTATTTCCACGACTGTCCCGAAATCAAAAAGAAGGATAATGCTCGAATATAAAAATAAATTAATGCCTTAAAAAGTTTTTATATTAATTCTGAAATTTCACTCTCGACAAAGTCTGACTGGAAGGTAAACTTTCAAAAATCTCATGGTAAAGAATTTATTTAGAAGATCACAGTTCTAGTTGTAAAAATTTAGTAACTAGAAGGAAGTTCTTCACAAGTTGCAAAAAGCTGAAAAAAACTTGCTTTTTCTTTCATTCTCATAGGCCGTATTTGCGCGGTGAAGTCTGAAAAAAACCATGAAAAAATTTTTCTGTGAGTTTTGACAGCGTAGTCATGATTACTTGGACTAGTGCAACTTTCGAAACGAAAAAAAACAAAAAAAAACTTTTCGAAAATTTTCATACTCCAACCCATGCTCATGGAAATACACATGGAAAATCACGAAAAAATCCATGAAAAAAATTTGCGACAAAAAGAAGTCCAGATGTTTATAAAGGTTCAAAACGAAGTTTTCTCATGTTTCTACGCTTCAAAACTCAAGAAAGGAGCTCTTACACGAAGGTTTCAAAAAAGGGAAAAATTGCAAAAACATTTTGCACAGGGCGGGGACCGAACCTATGACCTCGTTATTCCCAGTCCGCCGCCTTTCCACTGCTCCTCGCTGCCCTTGCTTCGACGGTCGCCGGCTAGCAATACCACACCGCGCGCGCATTCTCTTATGTTCGGCGGGGCTTTGAAAAATCATATCTAGGCTGCGAAATTTTTTTGAGAAAAGTTCAATTGTTTTTCGTGACCAGAGGGACAAGATCTACATACCCTCCAAAAATGAGCTCAATCGGAGACACTGGAATTTTTGACTTTTGAGGGTCCATAACTTTTTTCACAGACGTATTGGGCAACTTTTGAAAGCAAATTTGGAATCAGCGTAAAAAACTACATCTAGTAAAATTGGTCTCATTCAGAAGTCCCACTGTGAGCTGAGACCATTCCCTGGTAAAGTTGTCAGAATGGTCTTCGCACCCTTTATCAATCAATCAATTCATTGATTTGATTGGATTAGTCAGATATAGAGAGTTGAAGCATGGTCTTACGGTCCTTTGCCTCGTTCTTCTGCGCATAGTCCCTTCATTTGCGCTTTGACGAGCTCAGGATGAAGCTGATGTTGTAGCTGGAGCCCGGAGACCGTATTCTAGGTGGAAGCCTCGGAATGAGGGCGACCACTCCGAGTGAAGATTTTAAACGGATTTACACGGAACTTAGAAACGCCAAACTTTTTCGAAAAGACAAGTATTATTCACGTATCAAAACTGTAGGAAAACTGCAAATTATTTCGTTTACGACCAGCGGAATTTCTGAATTTACATGGAAAAATACTTCAGTTTTTCGCATCCTACTCTTATGAGAAACTGATTTTTTCAGTTTCCAGAGCTTCAGAACTATTATTATCCGCTCATTCACTCTCTTTTCCTCAAATTAAAAAAAACCGGGTAATTTTGATCTCTCGAAATCACTTTTTTTCGGGAAGGACCGAGAAACCAGACCTGCAAAAGTTACCTGTTACCTGAAGTTACCTGAACCGGAATCGAACTCATAATCTTCTGGACATGATGCTAAAATGCTACCGTTGAGCTATGCTTACCAAAAGGTACCTGCGTACAGTAAGGAGCACATAACAAGTATTTTTTCAACCGCAACGCTTCGAACCATTCCCAACCTAAGACCATATTGATTTCAATCCTCTGAGGTATTCCCTAGAAATTCCTCCCCCAATCTAAAAGGTTCATCTTTTTTTTCCCCCTCCCGTTTTTCCATTCTCGACAACCGTTGCGGAAAGTTCAATGGAGGACACTTTTTCATCCGTTTTTCCGAACAACTAGAGAGAATTTGTCCTCTTTCACACACACAATATGAAAAGAAGAAAAGAACGGTTTGTTCCTTTTTTCTATTTCCGATGTGTTTCTTTTTTGATTTCAAGTAGAGTTCTTCTCCGTCTTTCGGACAAGTCTCAAGGTTAAGTGGAACCAGAAAAAAAAGAGTTCTTGAGAGGAAAAATAGGAACTTTTTTGTATTCGAGTTCATTCTTTGGTCTTTCAGTAATTTTAAAAATCGAAATATTGCAAAGTATCCTCAAAACTTTACGATTTCACTAAAGAGGCCACTTTACCAACCACGGAATATCAGATTGAAAGTGAGAGAAAGTCTTTATATCCCTTGTTAAGCTACTTCAAACTTGAAGGTGTACTAAAGTGATCCCTTCAAATCGACCTCTTAAGTGGCCGCTTGGTTCTTTGAAACCTCCAAATGCAACCCCTGAAGTGACCACTCAAATCTCATAAAAAAAATTATCATTAATTACATTTTCAAACCTTTTTATAATTTTAAAAACTTTACTACATGATTTACTCGAGTTACTGTCGCACTTGGAATGGCGAGGAAATAACTATCACTGTGCCCGACCCAAAACGACTTGCGCGCGAAGTCATCAAGCTTCATTGAAGCTACAATTCCATGTTCAAACCGGTCTTTAAAACCGCAACGCGACCGCGACGCTTCGAGCCATTCCAAATGCGGCCACCACTTACATGGAGGCGTACTAAAAAGTAGTTTTTATGAGTTAAAGAATGGGGTTTTTAAGTTAAAATAATTTTTTAATTTTTTCGCAAGATTTTCAAATTCCTTGAAGTCGAAAATACACTACTCGCTGAGAAATTACAAAGCTCTTGAAAAAGTTCAAAATTTTCGACCCCTTTCTTTTTTCCATCAGAACGCGCTTTGACCACCCAGAAAACGCGAAGAATTTGTAGACTTAAAAGATCGGGAACCTTTTTCGGGTGGGATGATTAGATCACGCCCGATATCTTATCACAAATGATCGATAAACACTGCGACGACCTGTTCGGGAGGCCGAAATCCGAGTATTTCGTCCAGATGGGATCTACACGTGGTAATGAAGCTTGGAAATTAAAGGAAAAAAACAGCAAAAATAAGATTCCGTGCGTTGGAATCGAACCCGCGACCTTTTCACCTTAAAAAGGAGCTCTACCCGGCGAGTTGTACCCTAGATCAAAAAATGGCATATGGCTTTTTTTTATAGTCAAGCCCGAGGAAGTGCTAGACTAGAACACAGCGATTCTAATCGCTCTCAAAAAAAGGCAAAACTAGAATTTTGCTTTACGGGATTGAACTAGGGATCCGAGGGATATCAGGCTCAAGTGCTGACCATTGAGCCATGCGGTTACCTTTTTAAAAAGATCCCAAAATTCCTCTTGCAGAACTCTTGCTTAGAAAATAAGCAAAAAAAAGAAGCTTTCAAATGAGATGCATTCCTTTAAAAAGGCAAAAAATAATTTTCCTCGACTGGGATCGAACCCACGACCTCTTGGACATCCTTATAAAGCGCTACCAGTTGAGCTATCCTATTCAGTACGCCAAGTAGTCAATAAACTACTGTTTTTCAGCTTATGATCTTGAAGGAAATTCATTTCCTTTTTATCTAGTGTCCTAAAAAAAAGGCAAAAATAACCTCCCTCGACCGGAATCGAACCCACGACCTCTTGGACATCATGATAAACCTCTACCAGTTGAGCTATCCTGTTCAGAAAACGAAATAGGGAGCAAACCGCGAGCCCTGGATACAACTTTGTTTTGAAAAAATCCGTTTTTTGCCAAGCAAAAATTTTTTTTTCTGACTGGGATTGAACCAGAGACTTCTTCTACGTCATAATAAAGCTTTACCAGCTGAGCTGGGCTGCTCAGAACGGAGTCTAGTCAATATACTCCGTTATCTGAGACGAAACTGTTTTTCTCAGCGCCCACTGTCTCTCGGCGTGGTGATATGTTTTCCTATTTCTCTGACCTCGCCGGTGAGGGAACAGAGAGACGCAGACATTCGAGAGCTTCCAAGTCGCTTCGAATGAACTATTCATTTTCTTTTTACTCTAGTGTCCTGAAAAAAAGGCAAAAATAACCTCCCTCGACCGGAATCAAACACACGACCACCTGGTCATCATGATAAACCTCCACCAGTTGCGCCATCATTCCCCGATCGCTTGTAGCCTCTCTCCCTGCGTCCCGAAAGACCTGGAGGAATTTTTCCAAAGATTAGGTTCCAAAAGTGCTGACCAAAACACGAACGCTCCTGTATCATCTTTCGGATCGCGGCTGTGACAGGAATATTTAGGTCCAATAGACTTTTTCGCGCCTATCTTTGTTTCGAATCTTCCGGACTTCTGCGAGTCTTGCAAGAATTGGCTGATCTCTGTTGCTGAATTTTTGCAGAATCTATTTTTAGTTTGGACTCTTATTGGATTATTTTAGGATTTTTTTGAGTTTCAGTTCTTAAGTGGCCCCTAGAGAAAATGATTGAGATAAAAAAATATGTTCAAAAATCTTGTCAAGTTTTTGAAATCTTTGCGAGCACTTCCAGGTCACTTAGAAAGGAAAAAGAATTCTTTAAAATCTCTTCCAAGTGCTCCCTAGAGTGTTTTTTTCATTGAGTTTTTGAAATCTTATAACAAAATGACGTTGTTAAACTAATTAAAGGATTTTTTTGTTGGATACTTTTAAGTGATCTCTTAAGAGATTTGATTTTTTGAAGGTTCGGAAAAATTTAAAAGCTTCCCGTGTAAACAAAAAATGTCCGGAAACACTTTCCAAGTGGTCCCTTAAGGGTTTCGTAAGGAAAATTAGGAAATCTGTACCGTCAAGTGTTATAAAATGAATTTTTCAACCCTAAAGTGTCCACTAAAGTGATGTAGGATGGCTCTTCAAGTGGTCGCTTGAGAAATTTCATTCGGAAATGTGGCCGGTAAGGGTTTTTGAAGACCAAGGAGGCGTTCTGAACCATCAAATAGATTAAAATGATTTTGAAGGTTTTGAGTGGTTCCTGGAGGGATCTTAGTTGATCTGGAGCTGACTGGATTTTTAAATTTCATTTTCTTTATCAACTCCACCTTTTCGGTTGAACACCCATTAATTGAGAAACGCCGATTTCCTCTGAATATTCTTCCTTGTCGGCTTTTTTCTGCCCCTCATCTTCAAGCATCCCGCTTCACTCTGTGACCAAGTTCAATTCGAAGATTGATTGGCCGCCCTAATTGCTTGGTTTTTCCTTCGGATAGGCTTCAAATTATATGTTCGTTTTGATTATTAACTCCTTATTTCGAGCGTTATTTGGAAATTCAGGCTGTCGCCAGCTTTTCTGTACTAAACTCCGATTTGGAAAACTCGGTCATCAACAATTTCAAGGATTTGAGTTTCTAGGCCTTTTAATCCGTTACTGTTTTTGACAAAGAGTAAGTTCTTTAAAAGTAATTACGATAAAGTTATTCAGAAAATTGCTGAGTAAAACCATAGTGGTCACTTAAGGGGTTCCTCAAGGACTCGAGAGGACGCTAAAGTGGCCACTAAAACACCTCTATAAAAGCCACCATTTTCAAAAAGGCCACATAGTTCTAGCCGCTCAAGTGGCCACTAAACCGTTAGAACCCTAAAGTGGCCACTAGGAATTTTCACTGTGATTTGGAAAACTAGACCGCCGAAGAATCTAACGTTTTGAATAATTAGGCCTTGTTGGAACTATTGATTGGGGCCTTTATAAACCCTCGATATCAACTTGCTAGCCTTATTTGGAAAGTTAGGTCATCGCATTCTTTGGAAAATTAGGCAACCAGTTTAAATCAACGAGCGTGTACCCGATTCCTACATGTAAAATGAAAACATGATTACTTTTTTTTTGGAAAATTAGGCCGT